AGAGTTTGCAACGTGGCTGCTCACTATTTAGTGCAGGTAGATTTTTAGGCATCTGAGCAGATGGGATATTGAGCTCAAACTGTATGAGCATTTTTTGTGTAAACATGTTTTTGCCTTTAGAAAATTAAAATAACGGCAACTTCAACTACAGGATAGAACTTTCCATGTTCTTTGCACCCGCCTGTAGCAAGATCAGTCTGCTGGTTTTTTCTGTACAGAGATTTAGCCTGAGCTTTTGAAACTATTTGCAATCACAAAAATATGATATGAGATAAAGCTAAAACACTAGTGTGCTAACTAAATGGTAACAGCAAAATAATGCCAGTCATAGCAAAAAATTACAAAATTGCAACTTTAGCAGATAACACCAACAGATGTTTCAAGTCTAGACTGAGGATGTAAATTTGCATATCCACTCTTTGATCTGCAGCATTGAACAGGTCGGAGCTGTTGGGCTGATCACGGGTTTTTGCTTGTGGCTAGAAGCCATGAGCACACCTAGGATGTGCTTCTGTGCTCTAATGTTTGAGAAATGAAGAGATTGAAGGCATAGGTGTGAAGTCTTAACTGTAGAGTTGTAGTTCGTAGCTTGTTAGGTGTAGGGTTATTAGCTACTCGGGCTTATTAGGTCAGTTGTGTGTTGTTCCTTTGGCTGAGCTGTTCCATACTTGAGTTGCATACTGTCGTCTTCTAAGCATATATTGAAGTTGACAGCATTTCCCCGGGCATCTGGGAATACACGAAGGTAATGATGCTTTAGGGGTAGCAACCTCACATGGTGCTACGTTGACCAATAAACAGGTTTTACTTTTGCCAGTTCTTAGAAGAAAAATGATTTGAGCTTATGCTTTTAATTACAAGCATACCTGGAGGTCCAGAAAAGACGTAGGCGTCTGACTGAGTTTATGGACATGGTGAATACAATAGCAGGTCGCAAACAGCACATTCCTTCTCCATTAACTTTTGAAGCACTTTGATCTGTGCCTGTGGAGTATATGGCTTTGGCTTCACTACTCTTTTGTTGTTGTTTTTCCTTGAAAATTATTTCTTATTTCTTGTCCAGAATTTGGCCATAGGTATTTTTAAAGGCACTTCCATCTCATAGTTAATTATTTATGTAGAAGAACTGTCAGTCCGCTTCGATGTACATCTCAGACCCTAGATTTCTCTTACGAGTATTTAAAAATACACAGTTGCAGGAAAAGTTGTAAGAAAGACTGCAATACAAGTTGCAACCCAATTCAGGATTTAAGAAGAAAAGAAATTGGGTTCAAACCATTTCATTCTCTAACTGGAAAAGTGGAATTCACATAACGTGGACTGCCTCGAGGCATCCTTTCTGTTCGATGAGAGGGATGTACAATTTAAAAGGTTCAGTCACGTACGAGGGTTACCTGTAGGTAGGACCCAGATCCGTGCATTGCTCATGGAATTAAATGGTAAGCTTTCAAGGCAATTTCAGTAATTCTTTGTGTATATTTGATACAACATTAGGGAAGAGAACAGTAGATGTTTTCATATTAAAGCATATCTTCTGGTAAGTGCTTTTTCAAGGAATTTATAATTCAATGGATTTATAAATGTCTCTATAAGATCAAACTTAATGGCTTAGCCTTTCTGCTGTTCCAAGTTGTGGGTGGAAGTGGATCTATTTATTCTACTAATATGTGATGCTATTTTCTTGTGTTTGCTGTATTAATGTTAATTGTATTCTGGAAGGTGTTCATGGGAGTCTGCTGTATAAATTGAATCTCTTCACTGATGTAAAAGATTACCTATTTGTTATGATTTAGGTAGGAAGAACATTTAAATTAGGAGACCACAAAAACGTGGTCGGGAGACTCATTTGGCCATCATGACTGAGGCATCCTACACCTCACCTTCCTGATGAAACAGGATGTTCTTGCAAAGATGATGTGCCTTTTTCTGGAAGGGTGCCTTGCCACAGCTGAATGTTTGTGAGGCATCTGCTATGCTGGAACAGGCTTTTTTTTTGGCTTTTTTTTTTTTTAGGTAAATTGTGGAACAGAGAACCTCTTAACAGTTTTTCAGTGGCTGCATCAGGCTTGTCTTTCTATGTTGTGTGGGTTTTTTTGTTATTACCTGGCAATATATAAAGGTTCAAAGGAGGGATTTAGTTACCTACCGGGTGTTTGTAGTCACTGGGGTCATCAGTTTTGATCATATGAGATAACTGTTGTGTGCCATCCCTATACACAAGACATGGTTTTCACTACAGTGGGAACAGGTGACTTCAGAGAAGAATTTTGTCCTAACTGAGTGCTGCAAAACTAGGGAGGATGGCCTCAGAATAAATACTTGAACTCAGAACATTGCCTGTGAATTGTCAGTTAGTTTGCCAATGTGTGTCTAGCAGGAAACATTTGTCATTTCACAAGGGCTCTCTGAACGATTTGTTTCATCCTTAAACCGAACACTGTATGGCTGAGAAGGCAAAAAATCGGATTTTCTCACAATAATCAGAAGTGAACTCCTAGAAGTAACATTCTCAAGGAAGAGAAATGCTCCCATCGGTTTAAATTTCGGATATTAAGCAGGTAGTAAAAATGATGACTAGCTATGGAGGCTCATCACGACAACGCTTCCTGCGCTGAAAGAGCAAGGTAAATTGTCTACTGTGATTTCACTTCCATCAATAAAGTGCAGCGACACATCGAGCTTCTCAGCTGTTTATTCCCACCTGTCTTTCACCGTATCGTGGAGTTTGAAGATGCGCTGTAAAATGTTCCACTGCCTTGAAACCGTAGTCGCAAGAGTTACTTCTTGAATTAACATTCCTCTCATATGGCAGTGATTAAGTACCTATTCACTGCACGGAATTTTAACCAAACAACCTGCGATTAGATCTGTCCAGGCTGTCGATCATGGAAGCTGGGTTTTAAGTGGAAGCATCCAGATTAATAGGTGGTTTATTTGAACTAAATTATTGAGTGTAAATACTAAGTCATCAGAAATAAATCTTTTGAATGATGAAATTCTGCACTCGCCAGTGATGAACTTTGGAGCGATTAGTCTTAATTGTAAGGTAAATAAGACAGGTCTTGTTTAATTGGATACTTAAGTAATGTTACTTGCATTGAACTCAATTATAGTTTGAACTTTGATATTCAGGACAAGCAGCATTTGAGTCCCTGGCTTTTTTAAATGCAACTATTCAAAAAAAAAAAATAACTCTGGACATTGGAGTAAAAAAGCAAATGGCTTCTTTCTTTCAAAACCGTACATTTTTTTTCTTGCCATTGATTGCTTAGTCCCGTACCTCCCTGTGAGCACATCAAAGGCCTTGAATCTTAATTTCCAGCATATTCCTTCAAAGTATTGTAGGTGAGTAATCTTACAGGCAGCCTGTGGACCTGTGGTACAGCGGGTTGTATTTTAAGGTCTTAAAACTTCAGATCCGGTGATGCTTGCTTTAAGGGCTGTAAGCTTTCTCCATGTTGAAATTAGAAGGTGTTTCTGTTTGTGAAATGTTTGGAATTCGGAAGTAAAGAGCAAAGGAAAGAATCTAATAATTGCAAAAGGAGCGAGTGGAGGAGGAAACTTTTCAACATCTCTGCAGCAGAGATTAAATGCTGGGACATAATGTGGTTTTTATATACGCACACATCGCATGAAATAATCAGTGGAGATAATTGGCTTTCTTCCATGCATTCTTAGTAAATGATGAATAAAGAGTAACGCACGTAAGAAGTGTCAGCTTGCAATTAAGTGCGCCCTATTCACTCGTTGGTTCTTTGATGCAAGAACAAGCGCATGCCGATTTCTGATCTGCTCATGATCCGCAGCTTTCAGGTCTTGACAATTAAGCAAGTTTCGGGGGTGTCTGGCAAACTTTTAAACTTGCGTAATGCTGACTTCGCTCATTAAGCAAAAGGAGCTAGATGGCGCCAGCGGCCTGTCTTTCGCCTCCACAAATTTGGGTTCAAAAGGTGCGTTTCAGGTCAAGCGAGCTCATCATTCTGCCCTCGAGCCTCAGTTGCGCACAAGCGGCAGAGATGCTGCATATAAATGTAGTGGTTGGGTGCTACTTTCTGGTGGCCAGTCTTAATTATCGGTTGCAGTATTGGTTGTAGAAGTGATGGTATCTCATTAATAGCGCAAACACACGGTGTATTTGGAGAGGTAATTACTTCTCTTGTGGGGTAAGGGGACGGTGTACAAGCTTGATGGCAAGGGATAACTTGAGGCAGGGGCTCTGATGCGATGAATTATAAAGTGATATATAGAAGCATAAGGGCAGCCTTAAATGGTGCTGGCCTCCTGCAGAAAGAGAGGTAGGTCAGGGAGAGAAGAGATTCATGTGGAAGGACTGCACCTTAATTAATGTTGTTATTGTTTTAAGTCTGTCACTTCTATTCCTGTGTCCCTTTCCATCTTGCTTTGCTCTGCAGCCTTAACATCACCATTCTGCAGCATTTTCCATTAGGAGAGTGAATGAGCCCAGCACAAGTTATACTGCGTGTTTTCCGTTCTTGATGAAGTTGTGTATTGCTAATCCTTGTTTTACAGAACAGAGATTTGAGATCTGAGACCTCTAGAAAACTGGCTAATGGCTAATAAAAATATTTCCGTGCGAATTGCACAACGGTGGCTTATGGAAATGCTAAATTGGTGGAGAAAATCCCAATCCTGATTACAGCTGTTGGTCTCAAGCATGTCAATATTTATGCAACTTGAATTTTGGGGGGACCCAGCTGGGTTTTCTCCCTGTAGCGTTGCAGGTTGTGTAAAACACTGGAACCTCCTCCTCGTTCGGGTTGATCTGTACGTGCTCAGCTGTTACTCAGACTGTCTGTTCGCTTACTTTTCGTAACTATGGCAGAGGCGTGTAGTAACAGTTTGTGACCGTGTGGTGTCTTCCTGCATTTCAGCCGTTGTGTAACGCGCAGAGATTGTGATTGGGCACAGTACAGTTATACAATGTAGTGAGCCCAACCAGCTTATAAAAATCCTCCTTCGGTATGTCTGCATCCTTTCAGGCTGTGGCTTGCAGCTCGAACTGTTGCACTGAGCATAAGCTGGAAGAACGGCGGTGGAGGAATTGGCTGAGACGGTCTCTGGAAGTTGGTACAGGTTTCTGGAGGTAAGAGCAGCTTTGAATTCAGGTGTTAATGGGGATGATTACAAAACTCCCAACTGCTTTAGCGTGGGCATTATTAAGTAAGAAAACTTAAACCTGACAAACTCAGGTTTTTAATAACCAAGTTTCAATATCTTAAAAATGTGAGGACTTAATTTTTCATTTAAAAATTGTTATTCCTGTAAAGAGAGACTCAAAAGTATTTACCCTCTTTCCTGTTTACCCATAATCTTTGGCTTCCTCTTGATTTTTAAAGTGGGAGAAATTTTTATGAGGCTTATGTAGTAAAAAAGAGATTTTAAGAATGCTGCATCTTGGTTAGTTTTTGAAAGTTTCTTGAACTCCAAATCTTTTATTAAGTTCTGTTAAATGGAAGGGAAATATTTATTTCAAGACAAACCTAACAGATCAATTCAGTATAAACTTTTTCAAGTATGTAATCGGTTACTGGTTTTATATTGCTTACTGGACTAAAATTGTTCTCTTTCAGCAAGGAGTGAGTATCTGTTTCAAAAGTAGACGTAGGAATGCCTAAGCCTTTGGAAAGGAGCTTCATATTCTGAGCTGAGAAAGTTGGCACATTACCCTGATTTGCTTAATAAATGGAATTTTTCTTAGATGAGTCTCTAACTTCACCTTTGTTTTAATGTGATTAAGGTCTTGGGGGGAAAAAAAAAAAAAGTCGCTTTCATCGAAGTGCCAAGTAGAAGTACAAAGCTGAGAAAAGAACCAGTGTGTGCTCAGGTTGCTTTCGGAGTGCTGTGAAGGAGTTTAATGAACTGTGTATTAACATCCATAATAATGCAGAGGTATCTGAATTCTTTGGTTATTAATGCTCCACAGGGAGACTGTAAGAACTGTATACTATTATAAATCAAGTTAATGTGTACCATAAACAGCGAGGGAGGTGTACTGAGCTGCAAGTAAGACTATAAAGTAGTGATGTGTTTTATAAAGGACAGTGATACGCTATTTCATTTTTATCTACCGTGAGCGGCATTGCTATCTAGAGAACACTGCAGGTGTCATTTGATATCAGTCGCTTGATGTCAAGGTGTAAAATTGTTACGTCCTAGATTTTGCTTACGCTTCTCTGAAATGTAATCTTACAGCTTCTTCTGAATACTTCTCTCTTGGTCTTCATTAGGACTCCGTTAACGCAGACCGTTGCGTACACATTGATGGGATCAATGCAGCACACGTCGCACAGAAATTTGGCAAAACTGTTGCCTATTGGAACAATAAAATGAGGGAGTAATGGGGTGAAAGATGAGCGAGGAACAACTTCACCATAAACGTTTTTGACCAAACGTGCCTTCATGTTGACCGATACTTCATGGAAATTCTCGTATTTCAGATATTTTTGTTTAGAATCACGGTGTAAATAAGCTCTTCTTTAATAATCTGAGTCGCCAAACATGTGGCTTTTGAAAGCTGTAAGATCCCTTGTTAAACATTTCATTCAGCTGGATTTAAGTCCTCTTCTCAACAAACTCATTCACACAGGACGTTAATGAGATTTAGCTAATGTGCTTTAAATCAACAGTAGGTTTGAGCTCGGCATAACGTTCCTGTGTGTCTTTGTGTAGACATGCCCTAATAAAGTTGGTCAGTTGTTAAGACATACTATTCTGGATGGCAGTCAAAATACCAACTACTTAAAAATTCATTAGTGCCTACAAAGAAAGAACACGTTTGTGCTTTGAAGACAGACTTTGAAGTGAAGTGAGAAACTTAACTCAGGACCGAAACTTCTTAAAGTGCCCGTCAACTCTTGGTTTTTAAACCCTAAATGTTAGGAAGCTTGGGCATATTTAAAATAGCAGAGTTTTGTCCGCTTCTACTGCAGGTAAAGGGAAACGATGTCTTTTTGTGAAGTGTTACGTTAGGAATTTGAAGTATACTTTTCTTTTTTAAGTGTGGGTGTAGTTTGCTCTTGAGTGTGGGGGGAGAATCTTCCCTGTAGCATTTCAGGACACGGTAGCGTTTCAGTGCAATTTCATTTTGTGGGAAGGAACTCGAGGCGCAAGAGGCGCCTGGTAAAGACAAATCACGAGTATTTTTTCGGACCAAAGAGCCTCAGTTTCAAAATAGCCTGAGGAAAAGCTCTACGTAAAGACTAAAGCGGGAAGATGGTTTTTACATGTAGCAACAGAAGATTAAGCATGGGTGCTGGGCAGCTTTTTCATGTCTGTAAGATGGTCAAAATCCCCTGGAACGTTGAAAAAAAGCCCTTGGGGCACACCCACCTATCTGGAACAGTTTGTGGGGTAGAGGATCTCACAAGTGCCGTATCCAGGTACCAATATGGAGATGTAATACTTGTGGCCAGCGCTGTGAAGCAATTGAACTTGTGGTTGCGGGTCTGCAGGCAGTGCTTTGATTGCATCATGTTAAGTACTTCTGGGGCTTTATTAGCCTCGCTGATGAGATACTTGCTGATGAATTCTTTGAAATGGGGAGGACCTTTTTGCTTTGTAGGAAGACATGAAGCAACTTCTTGGACAACTTTGAGTAGCAAAGCTGCTACTCTTTTTACTCGCTTGTAATTTGGTCATTAATATTTTAAAAACCCTTGATAATGTATTGTTTCATTTTTAACAATTTCTCAGACGTTTCTCAGACTTACTGTATTTTTGCTGTTAAATAGCAGATGTGAACGTAGAAATACAAATCACAGTGCCTGCGGCTCCCATCTGAAGCACAGAAGATAAGGTGTGTCTAATAACAGGAAGAGGAGTCTTTGTTTTTCAATATCTTAATGGCACAATATCAGGACAGAAATTTTGTGCAAGGGGCTTAACTAGAGCCAATGGCAATCTGGAGAAAGCTGCTGTTCCATAATTAATGGGGCTTGTGTTGAATTGTGTGTCTGGCCAGGGTAGCTGTACCCTGTAAGTAAACTTGTCTAATTGGAGCCTCCACAAAATTCCTTAATTGTCTGTATTGCCAGTCTTGAAAACGCAGAAGCAATCCTGTTTCCCTAATCAGTTTGGTACAGTGTTTCGGTAAAGGAGTTCCTTTTAAAACTTCCCTGATCTCTTGGCATCCATCCTGCAGCCATCTGCATCTCCCTGGATACTCCCATGCCGATCGGAGCCGTGTGTCTGCCTGTCCCCCTTCTCCGTGTCTCTTGGTGAATGTCGGCTGGCAACCAACCTGTAAGAGCTCTGTCCCACGGCATGCAGTTTCTCTTTAATATGTCCCCAGTGCTGTAGGGTAATATTAGCTGCTTGACCTAAATGCACTTCCTTAAACTAAACAAAGTAAATGCAGTGCATTTGTTACTGGCTTAAACTCTTCGTAGCTGTCCGATGCTACAGGAACTGAGAATTTATCTTTAGTCGGAGCCTACAGCGTGCCCTTTCCAGAAACAGCTCTGCAGTGCTCACAGTATTGGGTGTGAGTGAGTGAAGTGGATTTTGAACCTGGTTTTATCATCTGCTCAGGCTTGGTGTGTTTTAACAGTAAAATATCCTGACATGCAGGGAGTCCAAGTCCTTTTCCACATCTCTGTCATGTGTCTATCGCCAAAAATAGAATCTTGGGTGTAGAGGGTGCCTTGATTTGTATTTAAACACATCGTGTGCTTGAGTTTCAGAGATGCCAAACACTTGAAACTGCCACTGGAGGTGGTAGAACTCCAGATGTACTGCTGCAGTTCAGGCTATTCGCCTCAGGTGCTTTGAATTTATTTAAAATTTAGGTGAAGCCAGCCTCAGTTGATGTAAGGTTGTACAGCTTCTGGCTGAGTGTCATCTCTGCTTGCGGGACAAAGTTGTTGTTATTCACACAAGTCTGACAGCTAATTACAAATAATAAATTGAAGATTGTGATTAAGCTGTCACCTTAATTTGATTCTAACCTCCTTAGCGTATGCAACAGACTGAGCTCTCTTGGCTCTTCAGCCATCTGTAAAAGCCAGAAAGATCCTGGGCGGGATCTGACATGGCTCCTTCCTTGGGGCGGCGTGACATGTGCTTACCAGGTGGCATACCTACGTTACGGGAGCTTTTCCATCCGTACACTCTAAAGAATGTACTGTTTCGTCGCCAGCTTGTTTTATAACCATGCCTGTTGTGCTTCCTTTACGAATATTTCCCTTGCACAGCAGTGTAGGGCCACCAAATGTAGGTCAGTTCCTGATTTTCCACGGTTGAGGTGGAAAGGAGAGGACCTTCAGGTACTGATTAATGAGTTTCTGTTTGACACTTCTACTATGCTAAGCAATAGGAGGGAATACACTCGCCTTTCAGACTAGCTAGGATTCTCCTTTTAACTTTTTCACCAGCTGGTTTACTTCTGTCCTAGACCTCCTTCAGCAGAACTTAAGTGTTTGAGGGAAAGCAATACAGCAAACCACAACTATAAGGGAGCCACTTTCCATCTGTCTTTGCAGACAGTTCTGCCACTTTACAGAGCGGTAAAACATTTGTGATTGTCCGGCAGCTTCTGCTTGCGGCTGTGGTTTTAGGAGACCTGATATCAGTTCTAAAATGCTGCGGCCCCGTCATGCAAAGCACCGAATCGGGCCGCTTAAGCTGTGTTCAAACTTTGTGCCCATTGCTCGTGTTTATCTGCTCAGGTTTATGCTGGGTCAGCTGTCTCCTGTCCTCTCAGAGCAGGTGCACAAATCAATATGGAAAGTCTAAAGTATTTTGGCTGACATCTTTGTATGGTGGGCTTGGCTCAGTTGATAGAGATTTGCGATCCAGTTGGAATTTGGAAAGACCCTCATGGGTTTAGAAAGCTTTTGGTTTGAGTTTGGCAAATTAGGAATACATAGAGCTGCTTCCCTCTTAAAGCTTCTGGGAAAGAAAACCGGCATCGTTCTTACACTTTGCAAACCCAGTAATTTTCAGAGTTGAAAGTCATTACGACAATCATGGGGGAACCTGAGGTCCAGACTAAGCTTCTTCCGAAGGGTTAACCTGTAGGTCTGCTTATTGCGAATGTGGGGCGATGAGCTTTATCGTATTGACGATATATCCTGAACGCAGCATTGCTTCCCGGTTCTGGTGCTGCCAGTCTGACAGCACCTGACAAATTGTTGACTCTTCTAATGGATGTTTAAAAAAAAAAGAACAAACCAAAACAAAAAAAACCAAACAGAAAAGCCCCAACAACGTGTTGCCCCAAGCATGGTGCAGTCTGGAGGTCAGATTGCTTTTGTTTTCTCCAATCTTTGCTTTGCCAAGCTCGGATTCAAATATTTAAGGCCCTGAAACATAGCACTGTAGAGATGAATGCCATCACAGCAAATCTGATTTTTTTTATTTTTTTTTTAATTTGTCTTTTGTCGTTGTTACTGGGTATTCTCAGACTAATATGAAAACGTAGGGAACATTTTTAGTGTGGTTCAGCCAAAAACTATATCAAATGATGCTGCTTTTAAAGAAAACAGTGCATGCAAGGCAGAAGACTTATATATTACAATTACCTACTCCTTTAATGGGGTTCAGGGTCTATTTTTCTTTTCCATGTTAATAAGCTCTTCATGTATATCTGTATCTTCTGTCCTGCCCAACTGAACTCTTGAATCTAGTAAGAGATGAGCTTTCAAATTATTTTTTAGACAGACTTGCATGCAGTTTGGTACCTTGTGAAATAGAAGATTTTCGTGCAGCTTGTCTTGGTACATGGGCAGGTTTCTGTGTAGTAACAACTTTGTTCTATACTTCAGTGAATGTTTTTATTTGTGGCAGGGGTTCCAGAGTAACAACTTGCAGGAAGAAAAAGAAAAGTACTTTTCATTAGTCTTGCATTGTACATCTCCATCTCTGATGGTTTTTATCTTTTTTTCTTTCAGCAAACATTGAAATGCATAGTAACTTGTTTAAACTAAATAGGAGGTCCCCTGGTAAAATAGAAATGTGATCTTAGCGGTCATGAGAATGCAAAGGGTAAGAACTACCATGGTGTGTCAAACCAGACATTGCCGTAGCTTTGTGTCCCATCCTGATGGTACCAAACCTGGAAGAAGATTTGTGTGTTGGAGAAAAGGCAAGTGTGAGGAAGATGCAGAGAGGCCTTTCCCCTGCTAGGAGGGTTTTCTTCTTGTGAACTTGCACCTTGACTATCCTGCTGCAGGCTATTTGTCTAGATACTGATCTTATCTCAAGTATTGTAAACCCATGTCAGCTTTTGGCCTTCCTGGGTTAATCATGTATGAGCTCTGGAGAGAATTTGGTATAGGAAGAGATGACTGTTAATCTGTATGCTGGTGGAAATTTCACTTGTAGCCTTTCCATTTGATCCAAGGCGGCAGATAATTCATTGTACTGTGTACCTAGCTGGTGTTGAATGAGTTTTATCTCTTTTTACATGACTTCCCAGCTTCTGATCAGCTAGATTTGTTACGGAGGGCTATAAAACGTCTGAGTCACCTTGTTTAGCTATGCTCCGTTGGTGGGATAAGAGGTCTGACAAAGAAGAACGGTATCTTTCAGATAACCTGATCTCCTGCTGCCTAAGGACTTTGTTTCAATTTGACACTTCTGATTGCAGAATAAATGCATTCTGAGAATCTCTGATTATCATCCGTGCCATTAAGTGCAAGTTTAATTGCTGAGTAGAAGCAGGAAGGGTTTGGAAATTTGTTCTCTTCATTTTTTCTTGGACCAACCCTCCCCCCCGACACACGTACGTGTAGCGTTTGTGTGCATGTGTGTACACACACACACACACTCCCTCTCTCTAGGAAAAGTCGCAGATGAGGCTACTTTTGCCTGTTAATTTGGAGTCGCTTGTTTGTCATCACCTGGGAACCCTCATCCAAACACTATCATTCTAGCTATTGTGTTTCAGCTCTCAAGAATTAATGCCAGGCACAGCTTATTTGCATGCTCTCCTGATGTAATTGTCAAGCACCGTTCCTGGAGAATGATCACATCTTCTTTGAGAAGATAGCAGTCTTACTGTTTTGCAAGGCAAAGTAAAATAGGATTATATGGTCTTTTCTTTTGCATCAGTGGAGATGCTAGTTAATGCTAACTAAGAAGCTTATCATGCCAGAATACCTTAAACCAGATCTCCTGAATGGCAGGTTTCCCGCTGGTAACTCTTACACTGGTGTTTTATTGGCAAGGCTGCATTTGTTAGGGAGGTGTAATTCTGCCATTTCCCTTTTCTTTTCCAACCTGAGATGATAAAGCTGCCAGAGTAAACTACGCACTGTCTCCATCACTGATTTTCTTGGAGAATAAAATATGTCTACACCAACAGAAAAAGGCAAATTATTTTCTGTTTTCTTTTTTTTTGTGTAAAAAAAAAAAATCCATTGTGCTTCTAAAGTAAAATCAAACAAAACCGCTCAAAAAAACCCAAAACCCCAGACACCCCCATTGCCCCCCAAACCTCTCAGACCTGCCTAGGCAGCTTTGAGACGAAAGTTCCTATAAAGATTTGAGGAGGCACCGCCAGTTATCTGTGCACAAACTCAGAAGCAGGCAAACTCATTTAAAATTGCTGTTCACGTCTGGACATTTGCACTTTTGAAGGGGAAGTCAGTGGTTATTGTAAAAACGGGAATGCCTGTTTTTGCAGAACAGCGTGATGGTGAGTACTCGAACTAGTCTTCTCTTTTAGTTTTAAGTTCCAGTGAGAAATAATTAATTATGCAGTCTTAATATTTACTTTAAAAAGCAGGTCTTAATTAAACCCTTGTTTGAAGGCACTCCTTTCCGTTCCATTTTGATTTAATTAGGAGTGTTACAAGGTAGTGCCCAAGTAGTATTTCTTATGTACGTGTATTTTCTCTCTTGAAAAGTTACATCGCTTTGAAAGATTCATATCTTTCACCTGAGGTAACCAGAATTTTCTCGCAAATGGGCAATTAACAGCTATTAAGAGGTTCTAAAATATCAGTACTTTGTAATTTTTCAAACAGTCCCAAATTGCCCCTAGCAGAGGGGTCTTTTGTCGAGTTTCATCATTAATGCAATTACAGTAGACAGTCAAGCTGCTGGCATTTTTCTGAGCAGCATTTTGGAAAGGAGGCTTAAGAAAAAACCCAACCCCTACTTTTTTGCTTTTAATAGATACATAACTGTGGTTTTTTGCATGTCCGCTAGCTGTGTTTCCACCTCCAGCAGTTAAATTGAAAACGTCATTAACTTGCTTTTGAGTAACTCCAGTGTGCAGTGGGTTTTGCTGCTTGGTTGTTTTCCTGGTTTTGCAGAAAATTTCACTTGATACAATTTTGAAAAGGCCATTTTTTCAGGTTCTATCGTGTACTTTCATCTGTAACATAGCTCGTTTCATCCCCAGCTGTCTGAGGCTGCACTTCTCTTTTTTGAAACTCGGTAACCACAGGTTACAAAACTTGGTTTGCTGCAAAATTTTCTGTTCTGTCCTGTGGGAAGTTTAGGTTCAAATCTGTTAATTTATGTTCCTTAGTCTTGGAAATGGCAAAAGTGTGGATGACCAGGGACTGGCAGGTGTAACTTAAGGCGTAAATGTGGGAAAACTGTACTGTAGTGACCCATCTGGGAAAAGAAAAGAGAACCAGTAACCTGTACGATCTTTCCTGTTTCTGTGCCAAAACAGCAGTGATACTAATTAAAATGCACATTTTTATCCTGAAGCAGTTGCTTCAGCATCATCAGGCAGATTACTCTGAACGTCCCTTGCGTAACTGTGATAATTTTGGGTAAGGGTGTTCAGCAGAAAGGGCTGTGCTTCACTCTCCATCTAGTCTAAGCTTCCTGCATGCTTTTTATTTAAAAATAAGTTGTTTTAAAAGGAAGGATTTAGTTATGCAGTGGTGAATGTGAGTAGGTCTGAAGAAGCACAAGTATTGTTTGCAATGGATGTTTGATAGCAAGCTGTTCTACATCGCTGCATAGCTGGAGCACAGGTGTGCTTTGTTCCCCAAAAGCTATATGGAAATGACTGTGAAATTGAAACAAGACCAAGGTTTCAATATACTGCTAATAGGTGAAGACCACAAGAGAAGAGTGAGGGAATAATCACAGTATTCCCATCATGAAAGAATTTTAAATACCGTCGGCTTTATCTTTAAATGGTAATCTTGCCAATTATCAAATCAACAAGGAATGCTAAGAGTTGGTGAGTCATGAGTGTGAAAGGGAACCAAGGCTGTGGGGCATATGTGTTTGTACATATATCTTAAGTAATCAAGAAAAAATTAATTTCTTTCTTCAATTCTAGGTGCCATTGATGCTAACGATACTTAAAAAAGCAACCCTAATGTCCCAGCTGAATTACTGAGCACTTTTTGTGATTCCTGGAGGTGCTGCTGTTTAAGTAAGAAATTGTCCTTAGTACTTGGCCTGTCATCCCAGAAGCATCCGCTTGGGTACTGTATGCAAGTCCTTGACGTTCTGGAAACGATGGGGATCGGTAAGAATACCACTTCGAAATCAGTGGAGGCGGGAGGCTCAACAGAAGGCAAATATGAAGATGAATCTAAACATCCCACCTTTTTCACCCTGCCTGTAAGTAACACCTTCAGGTACTACATAGTCAATCAAGCTCCACGTGAATTGCTGAATAATGCTTTTAATGAATAATGAATGTACAAAACAATGCAATGTTGTGCAAAACCTTTATTTCCACAAGTAGTTAGTAAAACCTCTTTTGCCGCTTGTCACTGTTTATATATAAACATGGTCAATTATGTTGTCTGTAGTTATTTCACGTCTGCACTCCAAAGCAGTGCTGTTAGCAGGACGTGCAATTCCCCAGGAAGTTCATGATTAGAACAATTAACTGTCCTACTGCAGAATGCACCGGCCCCCGGTATGTCCTGAATTGCTTGACTAAGAGTAGCAGACAACAGCAAAGAAACATTTTCTTGTCTTTTACTTATTCACATTTTCAGCTGTATCATTCTGTTGTACATGTCTGCCTCAGAACTCTTCCCATCAGTCTGCTTGCTGGTTTCCCCCTGCCCTCAGTTGATGCCGCCCAGGCTTTGAGGAGCTGTATGTGATGTCTTTCAAGTTTCTGTACATCCCTAGACCTGCTGTTACAGAAATGATTGCTTGCCATGCTTGTAATGTTTTCTGACAAAATGCCAAAGGCAGACGTCAGGTGCCAAGGGAGAAAACTGAGTGACATGAGGTATGATTGCAGAGCAAATGTTTATTTTAAGACCTCATGTTTCTTTTTTTTTGTTGTTTTATTTTTAAGGTCGTGATAAATGGTGGGGCAACATCCAGCGGTGATCAGGATACAGAAGACACAGAGTTGATGGCCATCTATACTACAGAAAATGGGATAGCAGAAAAGGTATGTGGTGGTGTCCTTCTAGGTGAGAACTCATTCTTGCCTATTCAGTTCTGTTATTTGTCCACATCAGTTTTACTTGGCTGAGAGATGTTCTTTCTCTAATCAAACATGCTGACTTGCAGATTCAGATCAGGCTTCAGGCAGTTCTGTCCTCATGACTCTTCTGGTCACACATTTTGGTTGCAGAATGCAGGGAATGACTCAGCAAACGTTAGAAGCAGTTAATGCACTTTGACCTGCCACCAAAATTCATAATATGCAATTTTTTTGATTTCTTCATTTCCATTGGCCTTTTGCATGGTTTTCTTGGTCATTCTGTTCTGTTCTTCAGTTCTTAACTTTTTCTGCATTTAGTCCTGTAAAGTGGTAGTGTTGAGCACCGTCAAAAGTAGGATCTTTCCCACTCTCTTTCCCAATTTCTTCCAAGCTCCAGCCTCATAAATTTAATTTTTTTAATCCTTCTTTCAAGCAAGGGGCTGCTTATTATTATTTAGTGACAGCTTTGTGAGCAAAGTTCAGGTCTTTTCATAAAAACCCGTGAACGTTTTTTCGTAGGATAACGATGATTGTGTCTTATCTATTGAGAAAGACCCAGCTGAGGCCTAAAAGGATGACCAATTTTGTTGTGATTTTTCCAGCTTTTTTTTCTCAACTCCATCATTCCTAAAGCCTGTTTGATAATAATCTTGCAAGAAGAGACAGCATGAATCTAAGCTTTTGTTAAAAATAAGGAAGAGGATTACAGTAAATCTGAAGAGCACCTTCTGAAATGTTTGTATTTAATTGGCTTTGTGGTTAAGTCTTACCTCCGAAAAGCCTCACTTTGACCAAACTTTTCAAATGTCCTAGCTGAAACAAGAACAAAACTCTCTTGGTTCCAAGCAAACGCATTGTGATGCTCATTTCTTTGAGGCTGTAATTTCCGTTGGGGCAAGGATGATACCAAAGGGTGTAGTTAAGTTTTTCTAACTTGGACATCAAAATTCACTTCTGAATTTTGGATTTACAGTGTCCTCTAAACAGGTGATTCTGATGGAGGTCTTTTGGTGTTACATTTTAAAAGAATATTCTGAATGCCATGATGTGCCTTCATGTACTCTGTCTCTTGGAGATAGTCTGCCTGTATGTCTGAAATACATCTCTACTACCATCTTGATCCCGGTGATATTTTAATGGACAAATTTTGGCAACTGTTGACATGCATATGTCTGTAATGGCTGATTTTTGGAGCATGCTCAGACTAGTGTGGAGAGAGACAATCTGATAAAAGCCTTGAGCAAAAGGTGTTGGGATGAAATTGTGCAACTAAGATTAGCGATCTCTAGACATGAAAGCATGTCTTCATGGCCTGTTTTTACCAAGCGTGTCTTTTCCTCCCTTCCACTTGATCCATATGATCAGAACTGTAAATGATAATTCACCTTAAAGAGACCATGAGCTTTTCATCAACCAAATCTGCTTGGGCTACAGCTTTGCTGTGGCTTACAATGAATGAACAGTGAAAGGAGGGGATGTAGCAATTAAGAGCCTCAGGTATTAAGATAGTATTTCTGGTAGTCTAGGCAAACATCCTGCTTTTCACTTAAAATAAACGTGTGTGTGAAGCATGCTTATTCTTGGCTTTCCATTCCTCTTGAGAGATCATTCCCCAAAAAAGCAAAAGAAAGACCTTGAATAAAAAGCCTTTAACAAAGAGGACTGAAATGTACTTAATTGGTGGAGGATGCCCAGTGCTTACACTTTCTGACAATATTTGTTAGCTGAAACAATAAACTATTAGCCCAGATGAGAAATAACTGTCTTGCTGCATCACTATAAAATAAACAATACCATGTTGCTTATTGCTTAATAGAATTAATTTGCACATGTTGTCTGCTCTTTATTTAAGGTATTAGGAAAGGCCTTATTCCCCGCAGTTAATCAGTTTTGTTTTGGTCCTTCCCACTTATACTTGATAACAGAGCTTTCATCTTGCACTGTTGGTGGTGTTTGTTGTTGGATTTTGATACTTAGTCTGTGCTTTTTTACATTTTAGAGTTGTCCCACATTTGCCCAATTAAAAATAATAGAAAAAAGGAATTAGTCTCTGATCAGTATGTCATTCAAAAAGGTGCAGTTGGTTCCCAGCAGTTCCCTACAGCACACTATGGCACTCTTGGCAAGCACCAGCACGTAGTCAGTATATAAACCAGCAGGCACATGCACGAGATATGAAAGGGCCAGTGACTACCCAGTGACTTAGCGGCAGGATAGCCGGACCTCACCCTACTTCTCAAATTCCTCCTTGTTTGGTCTTGGTCTCTTTTCTGTTGGTTCCCTTTAGCCATTATCTGCTAAAGGTTTGACGAAGGTGAAAGCTTCCTCTTCCAGTACAGAGTAAGTCTGGCTTTTGGCAGGAATGAGGAGTATCCTGAATTTTTTTTTATCCGACCACTTCACTGTGTAGGGCAGACATTGCTATGACAATTACACCTTACAGTTTGAAATTCTTTTGTTGGAAGACCTATAAGCTTCACTCTCTAAAGGAGAGCTTGAATTGGTTAGCAGTTGTCAGTCTGCGCCCAAAGAGAGCTTTCTACATGCCGTGGACGAGCTGACTTGTCTGGAGCACAAGTCTTACGAGGAGCAGCTGGGGGAGCTGGGGGGGTTCAGCCTGGAGCAGAGGAGGCTGAGGGGAGCCCTCGTCGCTCCCTACAACTGCCTGAGAGGAGGGGGGAGCCGGGGGGGTCGGGCTCTGCTCCCAGGGAAGGGGCGATGGGACGAGGGGCAGCGGCCTCAAGTTGTGCCAGGGCAGGGTGAGGTTGGCCATGGGGAACAATTCCTTCCCCTTGGGGCTGTCAGGGGCTGGAAGGGGCTGGCCCGGGGAGGGGGGGAGTCCCCAGCCCTGGGGGGATTTAACAGCCGGGCACAGGGTTTGGGGGTGGGATGGCAGTGTTAGGTTAACGGTTGGACTTGATGATCTTAAAGGTCTTTTCCAACCTAGACGATTCTATGATTCTATGACTTGTTCCTAGGCCTGGTGCCTGCTGATCTTTTTGTTCTTTGCAGACAAAGGTAGGCATAAATGTCATCACATACAAAAGCTCTGAGAGGACTAATAAACTTGCTGCATGTGCTCTGTCTTCCTGGTAGAAACAGGTCAGTGTTTCTGATTTCTGCTGCCCAAAGACAAGGGGAAACATAATAAAATAAAATATAATATAATAGCTGGTGGAAAAGTTAAGGAATGTACTTGATGCAACCTCATCAGTCCAATGAAGAAAAATAGTGTGTGGCACAAAGTGGAACAGTTAGGTAGCTACTGGATATTGGCAAAGTTAGAAAAGCTACAAAAGAGGCCAAAAGATGGGTTTTCAAAAGGCAGGAGCCAGAACAGAGCCACCAATCTGCTCAGATCACTTCCTGGATTTTTAGAGAATCTGGTATCCTGCATGGGAATGTCATGAACTTTGAAAATCCAGTTTCTGCCTGTCCTTGGAAGGGGTATTGCAGGTTGCTCAGCGTGTGGTGGTAGGTGTTTTATCTTTTCACGCTGCAGTTGGGTGGGGAACTATCCCCAGTTTGTTCTGCTAAATCTGTGCTGCTATTTGAGTGGCTTCAGCGAGCTAATGTTGACGTGATTTGTGAAGCAAACAGTGAATTTCTGCTGATACCTCTCTGTTCCTACCTCACGGGCAGATGTTGTAACCATTCTTTCTCTTCCTTCATGACCTCTGCCTCCCTGTAAGTGTATGATAACCTCTTAGTCAAAATGTTGAATAAACAGGCCATATCACTGATGAGCAAAGTTCTCAGGTGGAACGTGTGTTGCAGTGAAATTGAGGAGAGGTGAGGCAATCATACACACACTTTTTTTTTTTAATATATATATACACGTGTGTGTGTGTGTATAGTCTCTGGGGAAAGGTTAACAAAACTGCTTTATAACAACAGAAATTAGCACAGGAGCTTCTTCGGGTGAATCTTTCTTTTCCTGAGCAGGTTCTTAGCATCATTAGAGGCTTCTCCTAAATGTCCCGCTGTTTGTCCATAACGACGTTGGCTGTTGAGTCTTCCTCCTCTGCCTGTCTTTGTGGGCCAGCCACTTTGTGCCCTGCCTTGGATCTACACATAATTGCGTTGACATGAGGGTGCACACATTTTTTCCTAAGTCCCAGTTAGAGACAAGATGTGTACAGGTTTACTGCTGCTCAGTGCTCTCTCTCCGGTATGAGGTGAAGCTCTAAAACTCAAGTTCCTGGGGTTTTGTTATTTCTTGTTTTTTAGAGAATCAGGCCAGGAGAGTGGTCTTTCATTTTTCAGTCAATTAAAAAATTACATCGGTGCTGCAAATTGGCAAGATGAGTTGTGCAGCGACCAATTTCCCTTATTCCTCTGTTTAGGACCTGTACCTTATTTAAACTAACCCTGGTGAGCAGATTGCTCGGTGCTTAATGTTGTTAGAGTTTTCTGAAACTAGTGTTCCTGTACTTTGCTTTTCCACTGTAACACCCTCGGCCTTTCCATAGCAGTGTGGTCACTTACACTCCCTGAATTTGAATTAACCCAGTGGCATTTGTTTTCTCAACAAAAATCAGAGGCAAGAGGGAAGTACCATAGGTCAGTTTGGCTTCCCTGGCCTTGTAGGCAATAAACCAAATGGGCATTATCTAAGAATAATCTGTGGATGTGTTGTGATTTTTTTTTTTGAAGAAGAAGTACAGACCACTTGAGGCAAAGTCACGAGTCTGGCAAAGTTCCCAGTCTTTGTGTAAGGCTACGTCACATGAGTTTGTTATGTCCTAGTGTGGATTAGGTCAGAACAGTAGTTATATAAGGTATTTTTTGGTTACTTGAGCTGAAATGATAAAATCTGATACTTCCTCCTGTTTTTGTTGTTGGTATTTGGGCTTTGGAGCATTGTTGTTTTGTTCTCAGGAATTTCAAAACCAGAGAGTTTGAAAGAAATTATTCCATGTAGTTGTAAAGCAGAAATGATTGAGTTGAATCTTGTTTTAATGAAAAATCTGCAGGGATTTTGATGCGTGAATACGTGTGGTCAGTTGTCTGTTAGCTCTCTGCGAATAAGGGCACATGGTAGGCCAGAATGTGGTCTTGCTTAAATTCCTGTAGGTTTGGAGGAAGTCCACTTGACTAATACAAATTGGCTGCGGATGTATTCAGTTATAATGATGACCATTTTTCTGGACTGCTTGAATGTGGGGTGGAAGCAAAAATAATAAAACTTGTGGCTAAAAAAGGTTAACCAAGACTGAAATTGTGTAAGAATTAAGCAGGGAAGCAATTACCATAATGAGGAACTTTCTTGCCTGTGATTTTGGTCTCTTATGCAAGGATGGCCATTTTGCTTTGAAAATGGCCGTTGTTGAGTCTTCTACTTAGTTCCAATTCTTTATTTTTCTTTTTTTGTCTTTTTTAAATAAACAGTTCTGTCATGATAATCCCAGGTTTTGGGCACCTTTTGGCTGCCAGGTCGGTTATATCATAAACAAACAATTGCTGTGTTAGTGTAAATAAGCGGGGAGTGGCTTATAGAAGTGAATGTGTGCAGTAGCTACGGCTGGAGATGAGCTCGTCATCAGAGATAAAAAGCTTTAAAAATGTAACATATCAATATTGCTTGGGAGAATTATACCAGCCTTGGAGTACCTGGGAATTGCCTGATAGTTCAAATTCAGTTTATTTGTATGTAACAGTAACCTACTGTTGTCCTTTGTGTCCTCCCCACCTTTAACCCTCCCTACCAAAACAGAGCTCTTTGGCAGAGACGCTGGACAGCAGCGGCAGTTTAGACGCACAGAGAACTGACATGATTTACACTATCGAAGACGTTCCTCCTTGGTATCTCTGCATATTTTTAGGGTTACAGGTATGTTTTAAAACAAGTATAATATTTTCACTGTTTATGAGAATATTTCTGAGAATTTATCTGAGAATATATTCTCTCCATATGTAAACAGGTACAATATTTTCTCTGTTTAACGTTTTCTCTGTAGTTCATTGCATTTGCGTATGTGATCATTTTATTCTTCCCACGCTCTCACATGTTTGAAGGAAGTGTTAAAATAGTTTCTTCTGAAGTTGATCACAAAGATTACTGTGTTGATAATGATCTAAATTATTGTTTGCTGGCTTGTGCGTTTGTGAGATTCACTTAAATATTTAGTCTTCTAAGCTGCTGCTAGTAAATAAGTGAGCAAATGCTAAGTGGTAAGCTTCAGAAAGTGTCATTTTGGCACCTCTGGAATTAGAGATGAAGAGAGATAATGGTTAAGTCCTGAAATCTTGAATATTAAAGCTGCCACTGCAGTCATTTCAATTCTGCAAGCTTGACAGCATCATCCTGGACCTGTAGACTCGCTAATAAGTGGGGCAGGCAAAATCTGTGCTCCTCGGAGTGCGAGCGTGTGCTTCCTGCTATGAGCAGGACTGTAGGGGTGAGCAGCTCAGCCACTCATGTGAGGCAGAACAGCTCGTTTCATCTCCTTTCTCTCTTGAGTGGTAATAGTATCTGTCCCACAGGAATGCTGAGAATTTGTTAATATCTGTAAAGTATGTTGAGATCTCCAAACAAATAACATTCCAAAGCATCCTTTTTTATTTCTGTCTTTCCTCAAGGACAGGCAGTTCTGTAGGGATTGTATTTTTACTTGCATTGTGAAATATAGAGACTCGTGTTTGTTTGTTTGCTTAATGTATTTGGATTGAAAAAGAATTAATGAGTACCTGGTTCCTGGTACTTCAGAGCTTATTTGCAGCCTAGTGTGTGTGTGCTCTAAGCTCATTTGTAAGCTAATGGTTTTTCACCTGGTTGAAAGTGAATGGAGTTATTTATCGGAGTTAGAAGCTGTTTTCAGCACAGTTACCTAGATACTTCCTCATCCAGAACAGTAGCCACGTAGCTATGTAAATAACCTAGTTTATCCTACAGAAATAGTGATCATTAGCAACCGGCTAGTGGCAGCTTGATGTGGAAGGGAAATACCTGAAGAAATGCTAAGGATCAGGAAGTGAGAGCTTTGGTGAATAATTAAAAAGCAAAAATAGCCAATGCAAAAGAAAAGATGGTCATAAATTTACTTACTTATTAATATTGGCTGCAGTACTGACAAATCATTTTTTTCTTCACAGCATTACTTAACATGTTTCAGTGGAACTATAGCAGTGCCCTTTTTGCTAGCTGATGCCATGTGTGTTGGATTTGACCAGTGGGCTACCAGCCAGTTGATTGGGACCATTTTCTTCTGCGTGGGCATCACTACATTGTTACAAACAACTTTTGGGTGCAGGTGAGATTCGGGACTTGTTTCTAATTGTTGAGATGGTGATAAGACTAGACTTCTGTTGGGATTTGTGGCTGGAAAGCTGCCCAGCGGAAAAGGCCCTGGGGGGGTTGGTCAACAGGCGGCTGAATATAAGCCAGCAGGTTGCCCAGGTGGCCAAGGGGGCCAGCGGCATCCTGGCTTGTCTCAGTGGTGGGGGACACAGCGCA